CTTATATATGTAATTGTCACTATTTATAATTATTTATTTATTTAATCATAGTTAATTTGATACGCCCATGCCCATAATTTAGGTCGCGGAAAGGAAGAGGTTAGGATGGGGATTAGGAGGTCGACCTAAACCAGCTAGGAGTTATAGAATATAAAAAGAATGTGTGTAAAATTTGATTTAAAGTGAAATTATAACGTTTAATATGAATTGCTAGTGTGTTTAGTATGGGGGGGAAAGGGGACCACAGCGGCGAAATGGAGATCGGCCGTTACACTTGAGGAAAAGAGGAGATGTGTAGTTGTTCCGCGTCGGAGGGATGATTGTCCGTGAGGTTTAGTGTAAAGTCCGTTGGTTTGTTTTGAATCGTCGTTTTGTTGTCATATTTGTTCGAGATGCCCGAACAGCTGGTTTGTTGTGCGACCTGGGGGGCCTGGGAAAAACCTATTCCTGAGATGACTGGCTAGCCGGCCTTGCCCCACCACTAAAACAGGTTCGTAACAAATTTGTAACAAAATACTGCACAAAAATCATCATATTTGCATTTTAATGCTTTATATATCCTAGCTATGTTAATTATCTTTTTAAAATAGAAAAGTGGTTTTCAATCAGACGTAAGATACTAGAGTTATGTGAAAAAAAGAAGCGCTACCTCTAAAAAAAGTTTTAAAAAAATACCAGAATTAAAAAATTCTTCAAAATAAGTTCTGCCTATGAAAAAAAATATCATCAAACCATTTCTAAGCCACTAAATCTTTAAGAAAAGGTTGGTTTTGTTCTTTAAGGAAAACTCGTGTCGAGTAGTGTAATTAGTTTTTGTAATGAATAGCTAGAACTGCTTTAAAAAAATGTTGCAAAATAAATGAAGCTGGTTGTGTTGAAGTTTAAATATTTGTCTATCACTATAAAAATGATTTTCAGAGGTAAGATTGATGGTTCAAAAGTTAAACCACTTGTAAGTTAGTCAGATTTTATCCAATGCCGGCTAATACATTTTTCAAAAAGCTGATAAAGAAAAAAAATTAGAGATGGTGGTTGATGGTTGGGAAAAACGGCTTTATCGCATCCTAACACCCTGATTCAAATGTATATTTTACATACATATATTTTACTGAACGTCAATTACACTACTCGACAAAATCGAACTTTTTTTTTCCTCAAGGATCCAAACCGACTTTTTCTGATAGATATGGAGATTTTAAATTTTTTAAAGAATTATGGTTTTTTTTCTATGGCAGAACTTTTTTTTGAAGAATTTTTTAAGTCTGGTATTTTTTTTTAAAGATTTTTTCAGAGGAAGCGCTTGTTTTTTTCACATAACTCTAGTATCTTACGTCTGGTTGTAAAAAACTTTGCTATTTTGAAAAGATAATTAAAACAGCTAAAAGTTAAGCCCAAACACTTTGTGATTACAGCTTACCGTCTGGGAAATATAAAGCATTGAAATGCAAAAATTATGATTTTTGTGCGGTATTTCTTACGAAATTTTGACTTTAAAAACTCAGGAAAAGTCGAAAAAAAATTATATCTTGTATCCTCTATTTTTTTGTGTATAGGTGCGTTAATTTGGCGTCGTTTAAGGTATCGCTCATTAAAATCTATGGAGAGACTTTGGAGCTAAAATTCGTTAACCAAACCTAAAATATGGAAAAAATGAACAAAAAATACGTTTTTGAATGCGGCGGGCCCAACTGCCCATTGGGAACAAAGGAGCGCGATCAGGTACCAAATGTACAACCCTTGTTCGTTTGCTTTGTTCCCAATTGGCAGTTGGGCCCGCCGCATTCAATATTTTTGTTCATTTTTTCCATATTTTAGGTTTGGTTAACGAATTTTAGCTCCAAGTCTCTCCATATATTTTAATGAGCGATACCTTAAACGACGCCAAATTAACGCACCTATACACAAAAAATAGGGACACAAGATATAATTTTTTTTGACTTTTCTGAGTTTTTAAGTCAAAATTTCGTAGAATACCGCACAAATCATAATTTTTGCATTTCAATGCTTTATATTTCCCAGACGGTAAGCTGTAATCACAAAGTGTTTGGGCTTAACTTTTAGCTGTTTTAATTATCTTTTCAACATAGCAAAGTTCTTTACAACCAGACGTAAGATACTAGAGTTATGTGAAAAAAACAAGCGCTACCTCTGAAAAAAGCTTTAAAAAAAAATACCAGTTTTCAAAAATTCTTTAAAAAAAAGTTCTGCCATAGAAAAAAAAAAAATATCATCAAACCATTTCTAAGCCCCAAATCTTTAAGAAAAAGTTCGTTTTGTTCCTTGAGGAAAAATCGTGTTGACTAGTGTTATTTATACTGTAGCACCGAACATATTTTTTTTTTAAATTCATGTAGTTTATTTTAGCTTAGACTACTTGCACCTAGTAACAATTAATGCGAACAATATGGGGTGACGGACTGGAGACTGATGGTGATAGGGGTCGTGCGTCGAGCGGTACTGCCGCAAAGCATTGTTTCGCAAGCGCAAGGACACCTTCTCCGTCTGCTCCTTCCGCCTTCTCTCCAGGGACTTCAGCGTTCTCATCACGCTAGAGGCGAACACCGCGGCAGCTTCCAATACTCTCTGCTCTGCTAGCATCAGCGGCACCATAGTTTCCACGCTTAACCTATGGCACTCGAAGAGGACATGCTGTGCGTTCTCCACCATGCCAGTGCCGCACTCGGAACGAGCACGCGATCCTGATTTTGCCTCCAGCCCTCGCATATACACATATGATCATAATAATAGGTACACGTTGAAAATTTTCAATTCACATCAGTTTTATCGTACTTTATGAGTTATAAAAAAAATTTTTTTTTTGTATTTTTTGTTTGTCAATATGTGGCAACTCTTTGACAAAAAAATTAAATAGGTGAACCCCCTAATAACAGAGCTTTTACCGAAAATGTGAGTTGACCACACACTTTGGCTGATCAATATAATAGGTACAGTGTCAGTAATTCTTCAATATTAAGTAAATAATTTGAGAATTCTTGATTTTTTGTCCGTTTAAGGTAAATTTCATTTAACTAAAGTCAAAACATAAACAAATAATTATTTTTTCCTTACAAGAATGGGTCGAAATTCTCATTGTACAGAGGAGGAAGCACGATTGGCTCTTAGTCTGAGAAAAGAAGGCAAATCTCTTCGTGCCATTGCCAAATTAATGCAAAGATCTCATAACTTTATTAAAAATGCATTAAAAAGGAAATGTAGTCAGGAAACGCGGGGAAGACCACAGAAAACAAGCATAACACTTGACCACTACATTATATCTCTGAGCATTTCTCGTCATTTAAGTCGTCAAAGGCTATTGCAGCAGAAATCGGACAAGAAGTTAGTGCTCCAACAATCCGTAGACGGCTACAACAAGCCATCCTTCTGGGAGAAATAGCAAGAAAGGTTCCACTTATGAGCAAAAAAAATATAGCCATGAGGCTAACTTTTTCTAAACTTCATAAAGACTGGGTAGGATGCGACGGCGAGAAAAAGTGGAGAAACATTTTGTGGAGCGACGAAACAAAAATAAATTTATTTGGGAATGATTTTGAAAGGAATGTACGACGCCCTAAAGGAAAGGAATTTGATCCACTCTTCACCAAAAAAACTGTCAAACATGGAGGTGGCAATATAATGATATGGGGCTGCTTCTCGTGGTACGGCGTAGGTCCACTTTTCCAGACAACGAACAAAATGAACGCTGAGGAATACAAGTCTATATTGGAGAGTGCTATGTTACCTTATGCTGAAGAAAATATGCCTTTGCGTTGGGTATTTCAACAAGATAACGACCCAAAGCACATATCAAGGCTTTTGACCAACTTTTTTGAGGAACATAAAATTGACGTTTTAAAGTGGCCTAGTCAATCTCCCGACTTAAATCCAATTGAAAACTTGTGGGGAGATTTAAAAAAGAAATTAGCCAAGTTTTCATTTTCAAACAAGCATAAATTATGGGAGGGCGTCCAAAAATTGTGGTATGAGACACCTATAGAAACCTGCCAGGCACTTATTAAAAGTATGCCAAAGAGAATTATAAAGGTGTCCAAAAATAGAGGTGGATACACTGGATATTAAGTAGTATTAACTAATAAAGCCAAAAAAAAAATTAAATATTCAGTTACAACATTTTTATCCTGAGAATTATAAAGGTGTCCAAAAATAGAGGTGGATACACTGGATATTAAGTAGTATTAACTAATAAAGCCAAAAAAAAAATTAAATATTCAGTTACAACATTTTTATCCTGAGAACACTTGAAGTGTACAGCCTTTATTTTGATATTATTTTGATCAGCCTGACATCGACTTTAAAATAAAAATGGATCTCTTTTCATTTATAACATTATCATATACTATAAAAAGCTTTTTATTAATGAAAAAAAATACTTAAAGAATAAGTGGGAACTAATTTTAATTTTCAAATATCGAATAAAACTGTTTTCTATTATGATAAAGTTCACGTAGATGTGTGTACCTATTATTATGATCATGTGTGTAGCTTCTCACCTTCGCGGCCTCCGACCACACTGGCGCGGCGTAGAGCTTTTGCGACGTCACGACGCTCTTCAGCTACTTCCTTGTTGCCTGCTTTGGGTCTCTCGTGTTCTGCAGCATCCAAGAAAGCGATCCTGCGGTCTCGCTGGCCTTCCTGTGGGCATACTCCAGGGGCTCCTTAAAGGACAGTCTCGTGTCGATGTGGACACCCAGGTATTTCGAATTTAATCGTGGAAGGTTAGTTCGAATTTGGTATGTTAAATGAAAAAAAAAAATTAAACCGCTCGGAATTCTGTGGTACCACTGAAATTTTTCGTGGAAATCATCTTTCCGTATTCCCATTTCGCTCCAGACTTCTGTGGCAGCCTTGATATACTATACTGTATGGTTAGTGTTAATAAATAAAAGTTAGCAGTGATTACAGTACGTTGTATGTTTACCAGAGTACCATTAACATTGCTTCAAATTATCGAATACTGGACATAGCAATCGTACATCGTTATCGTCCGTCTTGTACAAATATTTTCCCGGTCTGAACGCATGTACTATTATTGTAATGTGTGGAATTTTTTGCGCAATTAATCAAAATACAGTTAGTTGTATTGAACTAAATAACACCCTAAAAACAGTCCTAAATAATCGTGGTCCAGATGTGCAGGATGAGCTACTTCTGGGTAATGTTTTACTCTCCGGCAGTGTCTTGTGGCAACAAGGAGAGAGTATACAAAAACAGCCTGTAATCGAAGGGGACTGTGTATTGTTGTTTAATGGAGATTTGTACAACTTGGAAAAACCCGACTCAATGTCAGACACGTTATGGTTAGCTAAGAGGTTGTCTGAATGCCACTGTGATGAAGAGATTCTTGCTGTCCTGAAAGAGTTGGAGGGTCCATATTGTTTGATATTGTATACGAATCAAATGCTTTACTTTGCCCGAGATGCACTGGGTAGAAATTCATTGATAATAGAGCATAATCAGCAAGGATTTCATTTATTGAGCACCTCATTTTACTCGGGGATCGATGAGTTATCAACACTAGAATTGCCGCCGTTGGGACTGTACAAATTAAAAATAGACACGTTGAGCAGCTGTGTACTATTTCCCTGGCAGACCCTGAATGAATATACGCACCATCAACTCAGCACACTTGATTTGGCAATGGGCTGGAAAACGATGATCAAACGTACAATATCACCAGATTGGTTGTTAAAAAGCCAACTAGATTTTGATTTCGACTTTTACAAAGTTGCCTATATTGACAACCATGAACAGCTTTATGAAAATCTGCTTAGTTTTCCCCAAATCCAATTAGCATTAGCCACCTTCAATAAGTTACTTCAAAGTTCTGTGGCATCACGAGTCAAAACGCCCCCCTTTTGTCGTGATTGCTTAAAGATTGTCCAAAACACTCGCTGTACCCACGCTAAAGTGTGTATACTTTTTTCTGGTGGCATCGATTGCACTGTTTTAGCTATCCTTGCTGACAGATATGTACCAGCTGAAGAACCGATAGAACTTATTAATGTGGCGTTTGAAAGAATTACTGCTCAAAATACAGCTGCAACACAGGAATACTGGAATGTTCCGGACCGTAAGACTGCGTTACAGTCATACACTGAGCTGAAACGAATATGTCCCAAGCGGTGTTGGAACCTGATAGAAGTCGATGTGAACCGTCAGGAATTACAGCTTCACCTCTCAAAACATATCCATCATCTTATCTATCCGCTACAGACAGTGTTGGATGAGAGTCTAGGCTGTGCGTTTTGGTTCGCTACCCATACTACGTACTCATCTGCCAGAGTTGCCGTCATAGGTTCGGGTGCTGATGAATTGTTCGGAGGATATAATCGCCATCGAAACGCTTATAGACACTGTCTGGGAGACGACCGGGAGCGTCAACTTGTTGTACAGAATGAACTCGAGAAAGACTGGCAGAGAATACCTGCTCGAAATTTGGCGAGAGATGATCGCGTTATTGCGGATAATGGCAAAACAGCGCGGGCACCTTTCATCGAGGAGAACGTTGTTCAATTTGTTCGGTCTTTAGAGCCGAAACAGAAATGTTGCTATAGCTTTCCTGAAGGTGTCGGTGATAAATTGCTATTAAGGTTGTATGGATATCAATTGGGTCTGCGGGACGCGGTGCTGTTGAAAAAGCGAGCTATTCAATTTGGTTCAAGAATTGCTGACAAAAAGCAGCACGCAGCACAGCATTCTATTTACTTACAGTTTAAACTTGCTAATTCGTTGGGAAATAAAAGTTGAAATAAAAGCGAACAAATTTCAGAATAGTTATGCATTTTGTTTTTCAGACGCTTGGTGTTACGCGATTCATTTAATTTAAACGCGGTGTTCTGCATTTTTTCGAGTTCTAGTCAGAGACTGATTTCACACAATTGCAGCTATGTATATACATATGTATAAATAAACAGAGGGACTTTGCTATATCGACATGACTGTGATGCTGATTGGAAATAAAATCGATGTCCCATCCGATCAAAGACCTGTCTGATATCCAGGAACACACAAACCACTTATTCAAAAGCTAGGTTTGTATATTTAAATACATATTTATGTATTAACAAATTTCGGAGAATATCTTTTATCGCTCGCACCTCATAAGGATCAGCAGGAGTCGCCTTCAGGACCCACAGGGGAAGTGTTGGAGGCACAGCCTTCCGGTTCATCTCGACAAAACGTGTTATTGTTGGTGTCATTTATGTCAATGGAAGAAAAACTATCCAGAATAGATGGAATGGGCAGGCTGTGGTAAAGTTCTTTGTTTTTACTTTCAAGACCAAAATGAAGTTGTAACTGATGACGAATACTCTCTTTTTCATTGGCACGATTGCGTTGAAAGTCTTCCTCCACTCTAACATGAAATATGACTAGGAAATCTATATATATAATGAGATGGAACGTGAGTCGCTTCTGAGTACGCGACTCTACTTTTATATCCGTACTCACTCATAATATAAATTTTGTAAGCTTATGATTTATGTAGAATTTTTCAAAATTTTACATTTTAAATTTTTTTGCTACATCTATGTATGTACATATATTCTACATCAGAGGTGCCAAATATGAGCTTACGACGGAGCACTCATCCATACTCACAAATAAGAACACAAATACCAATAAGGAAACAGTGTAAACTCGAAGAAAAGACAACAACAAAATCATAACAAAAGTCGGGTCAACACCAATCAGAGAAGAGACAAAACCGGTTTTTGCTGGACGGATCGCACGAAGATCTTTGCATGTGTTGGGCTTTCGGTATGCTGGTACACAGCACAAACTGTGTATGCATACAAGAATTGGTTTCCTATGCTGAGGGCTATTACGAAAACAAAAGAGCTCGCGGATGGGCCTGGGCCTGGGCACCGCTGCTCTACATCTAACATGTAGATTCTACATGTACCATTTAGATTCTACATCTCCTCCGCTAGGGGCACTCGCGCACTGAACGTGGCGAGTGTGCGAGCGTGAAAGAGAATGAGTAGCGGGTCTCTTGATGGAGGTGTTGGTGGGAAGCAACTGAATATGAATTCCTTCATTCTGGCTGTAATTATGATATCTGGTAGATATGGTCATTCTCTACGATACTGCGTTTTTAGTTTTATCATATCTTTAAAATTGTGCCTGTCACAGATTTCGTCCTTTGTGAGGGCGGAAGTGGGCGGGGCGAAATTTTGAAATACACTTCTAGCAGTGTGATATCACATGAGTTTGGAAACCAAATTTGGTTTCTCTAGCTCTGATAGTCTCTGAGATCTAGGCGCTCATCCAGACGGACACGGACATGGCTATATCGACTCGGCTATTGATGCTGATCAAGAATATATATACTTCATGGTGTCTTAAACGTTTCCTTCTCTGCGTTGCACACATCCATTTTTACTACATATCTATTATACCCCTTAACTCTTTTTGAGTATGGGTATAAAAATGGAGAGATAAAAATGTGTAGTGCATAATCACGTGCATAATCGCGAAAAAAATTAGTTTTTAGAACGGCTGGGCCGACTTGGCTCAAATTTTGTTCAGTTGTTCGTATTTGTCGAGACAACATTTTTAAGCCTAGTACTCAGATCCAAAAACTGTTTGCTAGCAAACAAATATTATATATTCTTCCAGCATCCAGTTGTGTGACCAGAGGTGTGCACTGCATTCCATACGGCTACACTGCTCAGACAGCTGCTTGGTTTTGTTTAAAGTTAATAATATGCACTTCTTTGGCTGGGGTCGCTCTTCCCCAGGCATATACTGGGCTCCCCAATATTTTATTGACAAGGTAATGTGTCTGACTGTCAGCAGCAGCAGATGGCGACGCCTCCCGTGCCGACCACCGTGAAGACAAACTGTTTTAAAAACAATATTTGTTTTATATTTATGAAACTTAATAAAAATAATAAATTATAATATCCATATAATTGTCATTCATATAATACTGCATTAATTAGATTCTATTTGTCTTCATTATTAAAATATTTCATTTGGTTTTTTGTACTCTTATTACAATGTTTGCTTCGTGTATGCTGGCAAAATATATCAAATTGATATAATTTTCGAGGTGGGTCTAAAAATACCAAAAAAACAAGCAAATACTTCGGATACTTTTCCAGTATATACCGACCTTTTTTTTGTTGATCTGAGCCACTAACCATACAGTGTATAGATGTGCCAGTTCATACAACGAACGTGTCGCAGCTGAGTTTTCTGTCCCAGCTCCCAGGGCCTTCGGCTCTGTGAGGCTGATACATTCGGATCGGGCGCCAGGCCATTCGGGTCGGGAGCCGGGCCGTTCGGCATATATGACTCATGTCGGGAAGCGAAAGCAAGATGAGCATTGCAAATGTATGTGTGTAAACAGACACGACAAATTATTTATCAATTCTTAATTTCCGAAACTGTTTTGAGTTTCGTTTCCAGGTTACGTAAATGTGTATGTGCCATGTATTCAGATATACTATGCTTGCTCTACAATTTTTTGCCGCTTGAACTGAATTTCGGTTTTTCGTTTTGTTTTGAAAAGCTGATGTTGCAAAGGGCGCGCGGGGTATTTCTTCCATTCTCCTTTCGGCTAGCCCTTGCCTCTGCTTTCGGCTTAGTAAATACCTCGGCCCGTGTCGATATGAGTGACAGAATACACCAACAAAATATGAAGTCTGACGACGGGAATAGGTCCAGGGCCGGATTAGCAGTTGCCTAGGGCCCCCCTAGGGATAAAAGAAAAATTTTGTTGAAAAAACAAAACTCCAAATAATGAATAAAAAATATAATAGCCACTGAGAAAAAATACAAAATAAAGGAGGGCCCCAGATTGATGGTTGCCCAGGGCCCGGTTGAGGGTTGATTCGGCCCTGAATAGGTCATTTTGGTTTTAAACTTTAAAATTTAGAGTTATTTGTTTGTATTTACAGTGGGGCCGAAAAGAGGTGGCAAAACTAAAAAATATTTTATGAACGCTTTGAATAAAATAAATAGTAGAACATTTTCCAGAGCTTTAGCTAATCTAATTTTCAAGATAATTTTAGTTTAGGAGATATGAGCAGAGATAACATCCTTTATTTTTATATATTGTATTTATTTCCCACCCCCACCCACTCTGCCCATTCCTCATTTATGTTGCGGCAGGTCGGCTCAGATCACTACATCAGCCCTTCAAAACAAACCGAACGAGAAGGGACGAGTGAGTCGCTTCTGGGGACGCGACTGTACTTATACCCGTACTCAGTCAGTATATACATTTTTGAGCTTATGATTTCTTAGAATTTTAAAAAATTATACATTTTTTTGCTACATATGTTATCTACATATACATCTAACATGTAGATTATACATGTACCATTTAGATTCTACATCTCCTCCGCTAGGGGTTGCTCGCGCACTGAGCGAGGCAGACTGTGCGAGCGAGAAAGAGAATCAGTAGCCTCAGCAGCGCTGAAGAAGGAGGGGGAACCAACAGAAAATTAATTTCTTCATTCTGGCTAAAATTATGGACCGATCTGATTCAGATTCGGCAATCTGGTAGATATGGGAATTCTCTACGAGACTGCGTTTTTAGATTTATCGTATCTTTAAAATTGTGCATGCCACAGATTTTCGTCCTTTGTGGGGTTGGAAGGGGGCGTGGCGAACTTTTTAAATATACTTGTAGCAGTGTGGTATCACATGAGTCTGGAAACCAAATTTGGTTGCCCTAGCTCTTATAGTCTCTGAGATCTAGGCGCTCATCAAGACGGACAGTCGGACATGGCTATATCGACTCGGCTATTGATGCTGATCAAGAATATATATACTTTATGGGGTCGGAAAAGTTTCCTTCTCTGCGTTGCACACATCCACTTTTACCACAAATCTAATATACCCCTTAACTCTTTTTTGAGTACGAGTATAAAAATCGAAATTCAGTTCAAGCGGCAAAAAATTGTAGAGCCCACACACAAGCATAGTATGTGTGAATACATGGCACACACACATTTACGTAACCTGGAAACGAAACTCAAAACAAACTCAAAACGGTTTCGGAAAATAATAATTGATAAATAATTTGTCGTGTCTGCTTACACACATACATTTGCAATGCTCATCTTGCTTTCGCTTCCCGACATGAGTCATACATGCCGAACGGCCCGGCTCCCGACCCGAATGGCCTGGCGCCCGATCCGAATGTCTCAGCCTCACAGAGCCGAAGGCCCTGGGAGCTGGGACAGAAAACTCAGCTGCGACACGTTCGTTGTATGAACTGGCACATCTATATACTGTATGGTTAGTGGTACTGCCTTCCGTACAGAGCCTAGAAAACAGTTTTTGCCGTAAAAATTTTCTTATCGGTTTCATACGAATATCAACCCTGATTCTGTTCGCTAGGTGTTTTTTTCGATCTGAGTACTAGGTTCTAGGCTTTAAACGCAAATAGTAAATATTCTTAAAGTGAGACCATAAACATATATCGATGAGGCGTTAAACATCGATTACAATTTTCTGTACTGACACATCTTGTTTTTTGCATAAAAATAATCTTTTGTTTTATATTCTTTCACGAATGTTCAATTTGAATATATTTAACAAAAAAAGCAGATTGCTGCAAAACAAAATCAAATTGAATTGATTGAAATACCTTAGCGACTGCATTACGGAACTTGCTTACTTGAGAACAATGAGCAATGTTGATGAAATAAAAATCGATCAGCCTGCTCTTAGTTTTGAAAATTGTATGATAGATTATTAAAATGATGTAATTGAACAAAGAATAACAGCTTATATCTTTCCCAACAGCACCCGAGAGTGATGATGAGCAAAGAAAACGGCTGGAGATAGAAGAATTAATTGCTCAGAACGAGAATAGACAAAATATACCCGTGAATACTCTACAAAAGTTAGCCTTGACGTCCTATGGATTTGTAAACGATAATTTGCGACGGATTTTGTGGCCGCAGTTGGCAGGCGTTGATGTGAATACGTTAGAGCGTGCCCCAACTCTTGGTGAATTGCAAAATCACCCTGAATACAATCAGGTTGTATTAGATGTAAATCGGTCTTTGAAAAGATTTCCTCCTGGAATACCATATGAACAACGTATTGCACTGCAGGACCAACTTACCGTTCTAATTCTACGGGTTATTAAAAAGTATCCGAATCTGCGCTACTATCAAGGTTATCATGATGTGGCAGTAACATTTCTCCTGGTTGCTGGAGAAGAAGTGGCATATGCTATAATGGAGCAACTCTCCACCACGCACTTTTCCGAGTGCATGCAAGAAACAATGGAGGCCACCCAAAGGCGGCTGATGTTTATCTGGCCTGTGGTAAATTTTGAGAATCCAGAACTCTACCAGTTTCTACAACGTTCTACGGTGGGCACTTTGTTCGCGTTACCGTGGTACCTGACCTGGTTTGGGCACAGCTTAAATTCATACAAAGCTGTAGTGCGTCTATATGACTACTTCCTTGCTTCACCAATATTTACACCAATTTTCGTGACGGCCGCGATTTTACTGCATCGTTCAAATGAAATATTAAAGGAAGACTGTGATATGGCATCAGTGCATTGTCTTTTATCAAGGGTATGATTGACTAAAATAAGTCAAAGAAATTTAAGTTGATTTTTATATTTGCAGCTACCAGAAGATTTACCGTTTGAACATCTATTGAAAACTTCTAGCAAGCTATATGATAAGTACAGCTTGACGGCAATAGAAAACGAAGTTGAAGTTCTAATTCTTAAAGAGTATGTAACGTTTTCCGAGTTAAAACTAAATTATAATATTTATTTCTGAAAATAGGAAAGAACAGAGGAACGTCGAAGAAAAAATGCTTTTGGAGCGACGAAAGAAGCTTACGCGTTCCACGTCCACAAATCGAAGCTACAACTTAAGCCAATGGCTCCCAAACTTATTCACATCAAAGTCTTTGCTAGTGACCACAGCTGTTTCTATTGTAGTTGGAGTTTGTGCATATTATTACAAGAATCAGTATCTGTCGGCGGGTATCAGCTGAGTGTCGCATGCTTATCTAACATTGATCCCGAGATACATCGTCAGGTTTGAACCCATTCGCCCAAAATGGATTTGTATGGCTGAGGTTTCGCTTTAACGACTGCACTGTCTTTTAAACAAATGGGTAAAATTGGCATGGCCAAAAATTCTTATATTTTAACTAAGTGTATTAACTTAATTTAGGTAATACTAAATTAAATAAATTTGTATATTTTGAGCATATGAATGTAAATAATAGTGAACAATTATTGATTTTTACGCACGAAAATATTACAAATAAACAATAAGTATAAAATTAAGATGTTATTAAATATTAAATGAACGTTTACTGCTTTCTATTTTGCAAGTATATTCTCTAATAAGCATATGAAGGAGTTTATATTTTTCTTATTCATTTCAAAAAATACAATTGTTTTGTTTTTGTTTTGCCGGCAGCTCATGTTCAGAGTAATTACTTGATGAACATTTTCACCGAAGCTACTGTCTCCTAATATTAACCGTGTATCCCAAGAAAAGGACTCCATGAAAAACATGGTCCTTTTGGAGCATTCAAACTTGTGTGTTACTACCTCTGGTTGACGTGCTGCAAGCACTATCGGCACAAGCCGGTTCATTTCAGGACTAAGGTAGGAAAATAACGTTGACGACTCGGCTCTGTTGATATCAAAGTTGTAGTTCATGTAGTAAGTCGATAAAGTTCGAGTGGCCAGCAAAAAATCGTATGGGTTTTGAAATCCATATTTGTGCGATAGACGTAGCGTCTGTTTCTCCGTTATATTTCCAATTAGGTAATCTACAGCCAAATGAAGAACCTTGTAAAAATATTTAATATTGGGCAAAACATTTGAATATCACAGGTCTACCTCGACAAATATTTCTTTGTTATCTATATTTTTTAGTAGGTCCATCCTAAAAATACTAGATGTTACTGGACACCACTGCCTTTCCTGATTGCGTTGATATTCCCCTGATTTGGGTATTCGGCTAAGAATTGATATACAGTATTATTAATAAAGATTATTAATCAATTTTTTTATAAAAAAGTTTTTTGTTTTGTTTTGGGGTTTTATGTTACTCTACCCTTGAGTAGCGTGGGATTATTTTGCCGCCCGTCTTTACAAGGTGGAAATTGCCAAGTCGAAGAAGACAACTTATTACAGTTTTACGTCAATTTTGTCGATGATGTCGAGCTGATGTTTTCTTTTTCAAAGAATTTGTAAATATAATTATATTTTCATAGAGATGGGTAGTTTAGTCTTGTTGTGTTGTACTTAGTACAATTAAAAATTATATGCGAGGCGTTATCGATAGTATCGCATGTATCACAAATGTTACTTGGAACAACATGGCAAGGGTGTGTATTTTCGCAGTCTATGGGTTTCTTTGGCTGCTGTGTCTACTAACGTGTTTTGAGGAATGTTGGCGAGGCCGGGTATGTAGTGAACTTCTAGCGACTCTTGATAATGGCACTTTGGCAAATTCATCTTTAACTGATCCTACATTTTATGGATATTTTCATTCCGTATGTACCATGGTGACCCAGTGATAGTTCTTAGTATCTTTTTTAGTTTTATTGGCCCTCTCGGGCTTGCAAATTGCCGTAGTGGACGGTATGTCACGTCCCCATGGCGGGGTATTGGTTAAAGTCTTCGATTAAGCTCTCTGGATTATTTCTAAATTACTAACGCAAGCATTTCCCCATAGCTCGGGGCCGTATGTCAAGATGGGTTTGAGAACTGCATTGTACAAAAGTACTTTATACTCCAGTTTTAGTGGTGAACGGGTGTTTATTAGCCAATGTAGATTACTAGCTTTAAATTTAAGTAGATTTCTCTTCGCTTCGATGTGGTTAATCCAAGTAAGCCTTCTATCCAGATATACACCAAGGTATGTTAGTTCGGTGGTTTGTGGAATGTTGATGTTGTTCAGATATAATGGAGGGCAAGTTTGTCTGCTTAGGGTTAAGCCAAGTACTCAGATCCAAAAACTGTTTGCTAGCAAACAAATGTCATATATTCTTCTAGCGGCCAGTGGTGTGACCAAAGGTGTGCACTGCATTCCGAACGGTTACACTGCTCAGACCGCTACTTGCTTTTGTTTAAATTTAAATAAAATGCACTTCTTCGCCTGGGGACGCTCTTCCTCGGGCATATCCTTGGCTCTCCAATATTTTATTCTCAAGGTAATGTGTCTGACTATCAGCAGAAGCAGATGGCGACGCCTCCCGTGCCGACCACCGTGAAGGCAAACTGTTTTAAAAACAATATTTGTTTTATATTTATGAAACTTAATAAAAATAATAAATTATAATATCCATATAATTGTCATTCATATAATACTGCATTAATTAGATTCTATTTGTCTTCATTATTAAAATATTTCATTTGGTTTTTTGTTCTCTTATTGCAATGTTTGCTTCGTGTTTGCTGGCAAAATATATCAAATTGATAGAATTTTCGAGGTGGGTCTAAGCATACCAAAAACAAGCAAATACTTCGGAAACTTCTTTGCGGTAGGTATGACTCCAATATTCCATGGATGTTCTGTGAAGGTAATATTTTGATTTTGTGGATTAAGCCATCCAACCAAACGCGGTCGAATGCCTGGGAGACATCCGGAAAAACAGTCTTTCAAATGCATTTCTTATCTCAGAGGTTATACGGTTTACTGGTTCAATAGTTCCATGTTTTTCGCGAAATCCAAATTGGTGCATCGGGATGGCTTCTTTGATTTATAGGTGTTGTTTGATACGATTCAGGAGCAGCTTTTCAAATATCTTTGATAGGCAAGGCAGTAGGCTGATGTGTCTATATGATGATGGCTTGGACTTGTCTTTTCCGGCTTTATGGATCATTGTGATGACTGATTTCATCCATTCTTGAGGATAATATCCCCATTTCATCATGCTGTTGAATATCATGGTGAGGAAATATACTGCACAGCTCGGAAACTCTATGATCATTTTAGTGGAGATGAAATCGTGGCCCGGAGCTTTCTTTTACTTTAAGATTGTTCGGCTAAGCGCCGGCCCATGGCAGCACAATGAGCAAAGAGACCATATGTAACATCTCTTAAAAGTAACGTCTCTCTTTATTACTGTTTTGTTTGCTTTGCTTATGCTCTGTCTGGTGCTTTGCTCTCTGTCGGCGTTCGACAGCCGCTGTGGGGGAGGCCCGTCAGAGAAAGCAGAAGACACTTCAGATTCGATCATCACCGTAGTTAAACGTTTTGCTGTCTGGCACAGTGACCTGCCTGCCACAGAGTTCTAAACTAAACCTTACATAAATCTAACAACTTCAACAGTCTTGAACCGGCCCCCCCGTCTTCAATCGACCCATCGTTAACTCTCGTTATCAAATCCGCACACCTTTCGCTAGTTTTGGATAAACATATATATTAACTTAAGTACAATAAACTGTGAATACATTAACTGAACAATCATCGCCTTTTTAATAATATCGCAATACAACGCTACTGAAGAAGCTCAGTAGCTCAACATTTGGTGACCCCGACGTGATAGAAACATAAACTTGTTAAATTTTATCACAAAAAACATAACATTTTCGTTGGATAAATTGGCTTTGAACCACGGTTTTTTTGTCGGTTTGTCGTATGTGCACAAGCAACAGAAACGGTTCTCGCGTCATCTGCTTTGCGGTCTGCTTGCTTGCTGCTGTTTCGTTTCGGTTTCGTGCTCTCAGTGTGCATGCCTTTGTTGTTGTCGGATGCACAAGTTTAGTGCGTTTCAAACTGTTAGCTCACGCTGCTGATCTGTAAAACTGCAAGACCGTGTGTTTTGAGCGCTGCGATCGATTGTACAGTTCATGTAAAACTGCTCGAGGTTATTCACCGGCTGTTAACCTCTACACTCGCTCAGTGACTCTAAACCCAGCTTTCTACTGAGCATACACGATGGCTTCTAATAGCACCCCTTCAATCTCTCCCCCTCACCTTTGTTCGTCGATTCGGAAGCTGCATTCAACAAGCGCAAGGTGCAATCCATGGTAGGAGCAGCACGGAGAATGGAAACTGCCGTCGGCAAGGAGAGGATTGGGGAACTCAGTGAGGAGGAGTTAAATGTGCGACTAAAGTTGCTAGCGGATCTGGTCGCTTCGTTCAACGAGCACCATAATGCCCTGGAGAGGATTGATCTCGATGAGATTGGCAGTCCCTTGAGGGAGGAGTTTGACGAATGCGTGGTCATGCTGGAAATTCGTATGAAGCGCGAGTTGAACAAGCGGCAGCCCACAATGCTCCCATGCTCAACAATGCGGACGGATCATGTTGGAGAGGCCCCAGCTACAGTCATAGTGCAGAGTCGGCCTCGCCTGCCGGAATTAAAGCTTCCCGAATCAGCGGGGGCTACGCGAAATATGCTGCGTTTTGGGGCATGTTTGCCTCCATAATTGACAAGGATTCTGACCTAACGAATGTGGAGAAGCTGCAGCACCTACGATCCTGCCTGAAAGGACCTGCTCTAGACACAATCTCTTCGCTAGAATTCAGCCACGCCAGCTATCCCATCGCCCTAGACCTTCTTAATAAACGATTCAATAACAAGCGTTTAATATTTCAGGCACATGTCACCGACATTTTGGGTGTGCAGCGTATTGAGACCTCGTCTGTGTCCCAGCTCCGGTCATTGTCAGATACTGTTAATGCCAATCTGCGGGCCTTGCAGAGTATGGGGACAAAGGACCAGATAGCTGACTGCATTCTGATACATATCCTGCTACAGAAAGTGGACAGCGCCACACAAGCCAAGTGGGAGGAATGCTCGTCAATGGATAGCATACCCACAAGCCAGCAATTTACCGCTTTTCTGGAGCAGAGATGCCAGAGGTTGGAGACTCAGGAGCACGCTAAGGAAATGTACACTAATAGCAATCGGAAACACTGCCTAGTTGCAACTACCTTCAAGCCGATTGCCTGCGCGCTCTGCGGCGACACCGGACATTCGATATATCGATGTTCTCAATTCAGCAACCTTTCTCCTCGACTTCGGCTCCAGGAAGCTAATAAGCTATCCCTATGCACCAACTGCCTACGATCAGGCCATCAGCAAGGTGAATGTCGGTCACGATCCTGCCGAGTATGTGGTGCTAAGCATCACACACTACTTCATTTCGAGTCTTCGTCCTACACTTCTCAAGCCATTCTGCCTCAACTCGTCAAATCAACATCGACTCTACGAATTCCCGCGATACCCCTGTCGCTGAACATGCCGTAACATCGTCAGCCACGTCGCTCTTGGCCAGAGTCATCGACGGGACGCTGTGATTTTGCCCACTGCCATAATCAGCGTAAGGGTCGCTCCGGGATGTTGATTCCTTGCCGTGCCCTGCCGATTCTGGATCGCAGGTGAATTTCGTCACTTCTCGTCTGGCTCAACAGTTGCAGCTACAGAAGAAAGAGCGGAAGTTTCCGTTTCTGGTCTAGGCGATTCGTGTGCCATATCCGAAGGATGCTGCGTCGATATCCAACTGGAATCATACGCGTCCAACTATGCCGCGACCATTACGGCACTTATTGCTCCAACCATTACGGGTAACCAACCCAACGGTATCCACGACATTAATCGCTGGAACATGCCCTCCAACATACCTCTGGCGGATCAGAAGTTTCACCAGCCCCAGCCAGTTGATATTCTGATTGGAGCGGCTCTGTTCTTCGAGCTTCTATGCCTGGCAATATCAAGTTGGGAACTGGACTGCCACGTCTTCAGGAGACCAAACTGGGATGGATAGTTGCAGGGAGGTTTCTCCGTCTCTCAAGGCAGCTCCACTTTTTGCTTCTCTATTTTCAGGTAGCTCATCTGAAGTGGCCCTCGCTCGACCCAGCATGTAGCGGTACTGAAGACGGTGCTGAGACAACAACAGTGCTGCAATAAGGACGTTAAAGATCCGTGCTCTTCAACGGGGGAGTATGTTCGGCTAAGCGCCGGCCCATGGCAGCACAATGAGCAAAGAGACCATATGTAACATCCTTAAGTAACGTCTCTCTTTATTACTGTTTTGTTTGCTTTGCTTATGCTCTGTCTGGTGCTTTGCTCTTGTCGGCGTTCGACAGCCGCTGTGGGGGAGGCCCGTCAGAGAAAGCAGAAGACACTTCAGATTCGATCATCACCGTAGTTAAACGTTTTGCTGTCTGGCACAGTGACCTGCCTGCCACAGAGTTCTAAACTAAACCTTACATAAACTTCAACAGTCTTGAACCGGCCCCCGCGTCTTCAATCGACCCATCGTTAACTCTCGTTATCAAATAC